CTTCGGCCGATAGAAGAAAAATAAGTTTTCTATTGGCTGAAGGCGGTGATAAAGGACACTGACGGTCAATATCAATCGCTGCCTACGATCATAGGAGGGACAGCGGCCTACAGCAGAAGTAGGCGTAACGTATGCACGTCACGATGGATGGACAAATACTCTATCATGTATTCTTGTCTTACTCATAACAGGGATAAGAAAATCAGTTAGAAAATCCGTTCTATATCTTGTTCCGGACACCTGGATACAGTTAATAAATTGTTACGAGCCGAGGGCCAGGCAGGTTGGGTGGCCAGAGGTTACATGCAATTGGAATTTTTGATAGGAGTGCCTAGATCAGCCGATGTTTATTCCGACACGGGTGGCTACCTTTAAGGTTAGGATAAGGTGCGTAGACCAGCCGATGTTTATTTCGACACGGGTGGCTACCTTTAAGGTTAGGATAAGGTGCGTAGACCAGCCGATGTTTATTTCGACACGGGTGGCTACCTTTAAGGTTAGGATATGGTGTTTGGAGAAATTGGTATTAGGCTGCCTCGTAACTTTGTTAGAAAATAAATAAAGATATACCTCGAGCGGTAAAGATATATCTTGGTGGGTTATACCAACTACTGCTTCGAAATAGGAGATGGAAATAATTAGACTTGTAACCAAAGAAAACTGGTAAAAGCTAATTTATTACGCGTTTTGGGTTTTTACAGATGTATGTAGATGTTCGCGGACTCTATCGTGCTCTCAGCTTTTCGCACTGAGTCGGCGGGGGCTTCTGATTTGATATCTAATTACCTACTAAATTGTTCGAAGGAGAATTAAGACTCGATCTCACTAGAGTTTCCACGTCGACGAATGACTCGAAACTAGCCCGATTCCCGGTCGCGTTTAGGCCCTGTATATAGCCAGATTTTCTCCGGAAAAATGGTAGCGGGGGTGTTCCTATGTGGTCCGATTCCAGAAACGTTCGTCGTCGTACCCCCTTGGAGGTACTTGTCTCGCGATATACAAATGTATCCTCGACTGGCTGGCGCCAGCCTGGCGTATGCCTTCAGGAAGGAATATAAAAAATTCGTGGGAAGATTCACGGTACGTTACAAAATAAATATGAAATGGGTATAATTAACAACTATAATACTAAATCACACATTTATATTAGAATTACAGTAATTTAGACTTGGTACTGTCCAACCAACAAGTTGCTAGTGAAGCAATTAGTTTCTCAGGATGAAGATCCACTGGGGTCTGACCATTTTCCACTGAGGATAAGGCTCAGCAATGAAAAATGTTTATGTATGTTGGGATTATGGAATGGAAATGAATATGATTCTAATTCTTTTCTTAAAAAGACTTTATTTTATTTCTTTATTGAGAGAAGGTATATGGGCGAAAACGATCGAGCGACCAAACTCTACTGAGAGTCCGGTAAGAAAAAACGCTTCTTTTATACCCTTTTTGGGTTCGTCTTATCCACCAATCAGAGACGTTTATTTGTCGCGTTTCACATTGTATACGTGACGCTGGGATCCCCAAACAGTCAGGGCACGATGTGTATCTAATGGTACCGGTGATGATGTATCGCGGTATCTATTATATACAGTTTACATCACCGTCGTTGCCCGCTGATGGAACCGACGAAAATGTAAACCGATATCTTAGTATCTTAGTACTAAGTAAACTATAGATTAATTTTTGTTCGAGGCTAAAATTTCAACAATATAAAAGGAAATATAACAGATTACCAAGGCTACAAAGACATTGGGGATTATATCAGAGACTTATGGATAGGCAATATGAATCATTATGTTTAAATTCAAGTAGGTCGATAATTGACAAATACAAATAGAATGGTTATAGTAATGAACGACTCCGTTATAAAGTATACAGAAGGAAGGAAGAATGTCCTAAATCATATTGTTTCCTGGTGGGACAGAGAATGTGATGTCAGCATTGGACAAAGAAAAGCAGCATCTAAAAAATAAAACCAAAAAGATATTGTAGTTAATTGGATTAGTTACAAGAAACAAGCAGCATTAACTAAGAAATTGCTTTAAAAAACCAAGAGGGATAGTTTTGAGAAGTTTGCTTGAAAAATTAACCATAAAATATAATAACATTTGCTAGTAACTTTTCCAGACATACTAGGTTATATTTATCACATTTCCCAACCAATTTTATTTTATTTTTTGTATAACGTGATAATGTATGAAATTTCTACGATTAGAATACTTGATCACAATTTCAAATGACGTATAGAGCTGAAATACATACACTTACCGACAAAAGTTAAGAAACAACGTAATCGTTTGATACATTTCGGTATATTTTCTATCTTCTAAGATACATGGGTTGGAACTAAAAATAGCATAATGAGATAGCGTCTAATACATCAATGATCAATGAGTTTTTTCTCAAACATACTTGTACGAGCGCCACAATTAAATTGAATCGAAGAAATAAGGCAAAAGCTGCGCGACATAAGTTAAGAAACATACATCGCTTAAGTTATATAATCACTTTTAATGAAAAACAGCGATGTGTCAATATGTCTGTAGTTTTCATAACAGTCTAATAAGATGTTGGATAATCCCTGGATTTGAGGACTGCATTGCATCTGCGTGGCATAGATTCAGTTAATCGAACACAAAACTCAATCAGTATTTCTGATCATATTTTCGTGATCGTTTCCATTAATTCTGCTTTGTTGTTAAAAGAGTGACTTATCACCAAAATTATAAAACGATCCGATGAATATGGAACTGTTAAAACGTCACCACGAACTGGCAGACCGCGAAAAACAGATGAAAGATTAGATCGTCGAATTGCAAGACTTTCTACGTCGAATCCATTTTACACTGCTTCTGAAATTAAAAATCAACTGTGTCTGGAAAATATTAGTAACAGGACAATTAACCATCGTTTAGATGAAAATAATCTTTTTTCACGCAAAGCATACAAGAAATCACTTGTGTCGAAGAAAAATAGAGCAGCTCGGTTGGAGTTTGCTAGAGAACACCTTAATTGGACTACTACGGAGTGGTCAACAATTTTATGGAGAAATGAGAGTACGTTAAATCTGTTTGGGGACGACTCTAAAAATAATATGCGCAACGCCCTACTGGACAACGATCTCATGTTAAATACCTAAAACCGACGGTAAAATTTGGTAGCGGCAATGTAATAGTGCGGGGTTGTTTCTCGCGTAACGGTTCCAGTCCATTAGTACAAATAAAAGAAACAATGGATAGAATTGTGTATCGTGACATCTTACAAAATCATATGCTGCCATTTGCCAATGAAAAAATGCCATCAAGGTGGTTAAGTTGGTTAAGACGTTTCTTACAGAACAAAATATTAATGTAATCAAGTGGCCAAGTCAATCCCCGGACTTGAACCTAATTGAACATCTGTTTGATTACATTGGACGTCAGTTGGGAAGTTACTTTGTTAACAATAAAGCAGAATTAATGGAAACAATCACGAAAATATGGTCAGAAATTCCGACTGAGTTTTTGTGTTCGATTAATTGAATCTATGCCACGCAGATGCAATGCAGTCCTCAAAACCAACGGTTAGACATTGACATATCGCTGTTTTTCATTAAAAGTGATTATATAACTTAAGCGATGTATGTTTCTTAACTTATGTCGCGCAGCTTTTGCTTTATTTCTTCGATTCAATTTAATTATGGCTCTTGTACAAGTATGTTTGAAAAAAAACTTATTGATCATTGATGTATAGGATGCTATCTCATTATGCTATTTTTAGTTCCAACCTATGTATCTTAGAAGATAGAGAATATACCAAACGAATACGTTGTTTCTTAACTTTTGTCAGTAAGTATATGTATATACATATGTATATACATATGACAACTGCTTACAACTGCTCATCGTTCCCATGTGTTCGAAAAACTGAACTAGAGTAGTATGTACATATTTGCAGAAAATTACATATACAGACACATATTGCCGATGAGCGAATAGTTATCCGACATAACCACAATTCAAGCTTGCATCTGCCTCAAATTCCACATCGACAGTCCTTCTACTTAGGCGCCACCTTATACGCACCAATCTAACTAATCTTGTCACATTTTTTGTTCCATATCATCGATATCGTAAATTCTGGCGCCGCAAAACTATACTGAATCGCTCCCAAAGTTTTTGTCCCTATATGAGAATATTTTTCGATGGAATATATAAGTAATTCGAAAGAGGAAAGTTCACAGCAGCCCATCGTTCTCATGATTTTACCCAGAAAATACATCTAATGGCATAAACATGCTTGGATTCCATGACTTTTGACCTACTTTTTAACACATATTAGTAAATAGACCGACGCGCTACTTTTTAAACCTCCCTCTTTCGAATGACTCATTTTCCATCGAAAAGTTTTCTCATGTAAGGACAAAAAGTTGGGGAGCATAAATAATCCATCATTTTGTCATTTTCCATCGAAAAATATTCTCATATAAGGACAAAGACTCGAGGAGCTCTAATTTATCGCGTCACTGCGGAGTCCAGCCCCTTAATTTGCGCGTCACCATGGTTATCGATCTGCAACTACCTGTCGGTAATTCGCTGAACAGTTTGGACGTTTTACCGCTGCATCGATTGGCGCTATTCGGTCGTTTAGAGGCAGCAGAAAATTTGTGCCGGGCTTGATATTACTACTTACGGGAACGGCGGCACGAATTATTTTCTGCAAAATTCAATATTGGAACATAAAACTATAAAACGCTTATAATTGATTAAGTCTCTAATACGCGAAAAATTATTATAAGTTCGTTGCTAGAGATCTTTTCTAGATTATTTCTAGATTGTAAAAGTAAAAAATAAATTCGGAACCATATAAAAAAATCATTAAATCTGGACGATTCCGAACTTTTTCGTGGCGTTTCGTTCGAATGGTATACTGGCTTGTCTTATTTCCAATCGTGTTCGCAAAGCTGTAAACGAATCGGTCGCCAGTGAAATCGTTGATCCTTCGACAAATCAATTTTTCAGCTTATGGACCACCGGCGCCCACCTATGGGGTGCCCCACGGATCGTCCGAAACCCCGTCGTTCGTGCTACCAACGATAGACTTCTCCTGGCCGTTCGCGCTCAAGCTGAATGCCTTCACTTTGGCCAAGATTCTGCTAAAGTTGGTGATCTTCAAAATGATCGTCAAGTTCATAGCCGTGATATGCCTGCTGCTCTTTATTCCGAAGCTCGAGATCAAGAAGAAAGGAAACAAACCGATGAACAACAACGACGACGACGACGACGACGATGACGAGGGTCGACGATCGCTCGATGGTAATCGCGCAACATTTATACGCTTCGCAGGTTTAACGATTACCCGAATTGGTCGATCGTGCCGTTTAATCTTTTAGAACGACACGCCACTATAGTGGCTTTCGCGGATGTCATCTCTCTGGACGACGCGCCACTATAGTGGCTTGCTCTAGTAGCTCACTCGCTCATCGTTTGAACCAAATAATCGTCTTCATATGCATTGTTTCACACTTCTTTTGTCTTCATATCGATTAACAACAGTCTACAAGGCTGTCTCTTATACACATCTAGATGTGTATAAGAGACAGGCTCTAGTAGCTCACTCGCTCATCGTTTGAACCAAATAATCGTCTTCATATGCATTGTTTCACACTTCTTTTGTCTTCATATCGATTAACAACAGTCTACAAGGCTGTCTCTTATACACATCTAGATGTGTATAAGAGACAGGCTCTAGTAGCTCACTCGCTCATCGTTTGAACCAAATAATCGTCTTCATATGCATTGTTTCACACTTCTTTTGTCTTCATATCGATTAACAACAGTCTACAAGGCTGTCTCTTATACACATCTAGATGTGTATAAGAGACAGGCTCTAGTAGCTCACTCGCTCATCGTTTGAACCAAATAATCGTCTTCATATGCATTGTTTCACACTTCTTTTGTCTTCATATCGATTAACAACAGTCTACAAGGCTGTCTCTTATACACATCTAGATGTGTATAAGAGACAGGCTCTAGTAGCTCACTCGCTCATCGTTTGAACCAAATAATCGTCTTCATATGCATTGTTTCACACTTCTTTTGTCTTCATATCGATTAACAACAGTCTACAAGGCTGTCTCTTATACACATCTAGATGTGTATAAGAGACAGGCTCTAGTAGCTCACTCGCTCATCGTTTGAACCAAATAATCGTCTTCATATGCATTGTTTCACACTTCTTTTGTCTTCATATCGATTAACAACAGTCTACAAGGCTGTCTCTTATACACATCTAGATGTGTATAAGAGACAGGCTCTAGTAGCTCACTCGCTCATCGTTTGAACCAAATAATCGTCTTCATATGCATTGTTTCACACTTCTTTTGTCTTCATATCGATTAACAACAGTCTACAAGGCTGTCTCTTATACACATCTAGATGTGTATAAGAGACAGGCTCTAGTAGCTCACTCGCTCATCGTTTGAACCAAATAATCGTCTTCATATGCATTGTTTCACACTTCTTTTGTCTTCATATCGATTAACAACAGTCTACAAGGCTGTCTCTTATACACATCTAGATGTGTATAAGAGACAGGCTCTAGTAGCTCACTCGCTCATCGTTTGAACCAAATAATCGTCTTCATATGCATTGTTTCACACTTCTTTTGTCTTCATATCGATTAACAACAGTCTACAAGGCTGTCTCTTATACACATCTAGATGTGTATAAGAGACAGGCTCTAGTAGCTCACTCGCTCATCGTTTGAACCAAATAATCGTCTTCATATGCATTGTTTCACACTTCTTTTGTCTTCATATCGATTAACAACAGTCTACAAGGCTGTCTCTTATACACATCTAGATGTGTATAAGAGACAGGCTCTAGTAGCTCACTCGCTCATCGTTTGAACCAAATAATCGTCTTCATATGCATTGTTTCACACTTCTTTTGTCTTCATATCGATTAACAACAGTCTACAAGGCTGTCTCTTATACACATCTAGATGTGTATAAGAGACAGGCTCTAGTAGCTCACTCGCTCATCGTTTGAACCAAATAATCGTCTTCATATGCATTGTTTCACACTTCTTTTGTCTTCATATCGATTAACAACAGTCTACAAGGCTGTCTCTTATACACATCTAGATGTGTATAAGAGACAGGCTCTAGTAGCTCACTCGCTCATCGTTTGAACCAAATAATCGTCTTCATATGCATTGTTTCACACTTCTTTTGTCTTCATATCGATTAACAACAGTCTACAAGGCTGTCTCTTATACACATCTAGATGTGTATAAGAGACAGGCTCTAGTAGCTCACTCGCTCATCGTTTGAACCAAATAATCGTCTTCATATGCATTGTTTCACACTTCTTTTGTCTTCATATCGATTAACAACAGTCTACAAGGCTGTCTCTTATACACATCTAGATGTGTATAAGAGACAGGCTCTAGTAGCTCACTCGCTCATCGTTTGAACCAAATAATCGTCTTCATATGCATTGTTTCACACTTCTTTTGTCTTCATATCGATTAACAACAGTCTACAAGGCTGTCTCTTATACACATCTAGATGTGTATAAGAGACAGGCTCTAGTAGCTCACTCGCTCATCGTTTGAACCAAATAATCGTCTTCATATGCATTGTTTCACACTTCTTTTGTCTTCATATCGATTAACAACAGTCTACAAGGCTGTCTCTTATACACATCTAGATGTGTATAAGAGACAGGCTCTAGTAGCTCACTCGCTCATCGTTTGAACCAAATAATCGTCTTCATATGCATTGTTTCACACTTCTTTTGTCTTCATATCGATTAACAACAGTCTACAAGGCTGTCTCTTATACACATCTAGATGTGTATAAGAGACAGACAGTACATAGCAGACTCTGCCGTCCACAGAAATAGCCTCGCGCAGAATTCAGCCATACCTAAAAGGTTAAAATCGTGTCGCTTCGTTCCAGGTAATCCGAGGTTTTGGAGACGACTGAACGAGCTGGCTGCGTTCGCGAGCGACGCGCTCGGGGAGTACGAGAGTTTGAACAACGTGGATCGATCAGGGACAGTGTCCCGAAGCTCGCGGGGACAGCTTCTCGGCGAAACCTGGTACGACTACTCTCGCCTGCTGCATAGCTACGCGTTGGAAGAAATGCGATACACGCGTGCGAAATCGTAGCACTTACTAGATATATAGGAGCGACGCGATCGTCAACGACCGCTTTCGATCTCGATGGACCGCGCGACGTTTTTGTAGATTCCACATTTATTTATTGCTATTTATACGACCGTTTGTGACGCACAAGTTTGCGAGACTTGCCAAAGGTTCATGGCCATATCTACGTCCATACAAATGAATAATAAAACAAATAAATTATTCGTCTCCAAAGACGTTCGATTACGCGAACTATCTCGCGGAGTCTGCGACGCCGAAATAAACGAGGTTGCGGTCGCAAACAAACCGGGGCAACGCGAACGAGGCGACCAAAGCGAGCAAGGCGTCGAGGCGAATAAGGCGAGCAAGACGAACAAGGGGATGGCTAATCGTTTAATGATATACCGAATTGAGGCCGCTTACGCGAGGCTTGCGCCGAAGGCTTACGCGACGCTTCCTCGAGGCTTTCCCAACGAGGTTACACGTCAATGTTTCTTCCCGTCCGAGGATACGCAGCTTTCGACCCAGCAACCCAATTACGCTCTAGTACCGATCGTCGTTTCCATCGAAACCAATTCTCCTCCGTTTCGTTGCGAAAAGAGGGACGACAGTTCGGAGGGAAACGAATTGCGCGGTCGCTCCTCCATTGTTCGTCAATCTCGATTGTTGCGCGTTCAACGAGGCTGCAACCCGAAAGACGAATAGGACGCACGGCCGAATTAGTCGAGAGTCGTCCGCGACCGATCGAAGAAGCTCGCTCGAAATCCCGTTCTCGAGCATGAGCCGCGCGATCCAGGTTCTTCTACTCTTTCTGCTCCTCTCGACGACGACGATCCGGCGCTACCTCGCGTTGCCGTGGTCCGAAACGACCAGCGATTGCGTCGTTCCGAATTCGAACGTCGAACGATTGACGGCGGCGGAGGCGGAGCCGGGATCGGAATCGGGAATGCGCGCAGGAGCTGTGGTCGAGGGCAGCGATCTCTCGATTTTCTTAGAGGAACTCGAGGGCCGACTGTCGCGACTCGAGAGAAGATTGAGAGCAGTCGAGCAACCCGGTGAGTACGGCTGCGCCGAGATCGCGACTCGACACGATGCTATCCGATTTCAGTTTGTATCGAAACATCGACATTCATTTCACCGACAATGTCTTAGCCTGCGCCATTTCACCGACATCGATTCCGCCGACAATTTTTGCATCGACGCTCGCTTCGCTGGCACTGACTTTACATGTTTATCTGCCAATCGTACCGAATGACTATCATTGGCAGGAAAACGTAAAGTCGATGTCGGTGAAACTAGTGTAGGGATTATTTTAGTAAATCCTACGAGACTCCGTGGTAAAACGGCCAACAACACACAACTTAAATAATAATGACGATAACAGTTTGTTAGCAAAAATAACAGCCAGTCTATAGAACACAACACCTCTTCACGAATAACAACAATAACAACAAGGAGTTAAACAACGGAAACACTGCGACAACAGTAACGTTAATGACTTCGATAACAGCAACAATAACAACGACAACGACAACGTTCAAGTTTACTGGGTCACGGCTCTCCTTCGAATGACCCGATCTTTCCATTCGGTTCTTTCACCCTTATCAATCTTTTCCTTCGTTACTTGTTTCTCTTCCCAACATTATCTTACAATTCTCTCTCTCTGTTGCACACACTCTTTCTCACTTTATCTCACTCGTTGTGTCTCACTCTTACTCATTCTCTCTTTCTCTCTCTCTCTCTCTCTCTCTCTCTCTCTCTCTCTCTCTCTCTCTCTCTCCCTCTGAATCACTCACGTTATATCTTTTTGGCTACGCAAGACTGCGAGGAACCTAAGCAATAAATTCCGATCACTCAAAGCTGCCCAAACACTCTGCATACATCTGTGCCATTCGTTCAGTATCTTACGACTCTCATTCTTGATCATTCCGCCTTTCGTACGCGGAAAACCCTACGCTATATGTTACTTCGTTCAACGAGAACTGGCACAAAATATACATCACAGCTGCACACGAGCGACACGTGATCGGAGCAGTGCCGAATCAGAATTTTCGGGCCCTTCTACACGAGGCTACTCCACATGCAAGGGCACTCGATGAGGGTTCTTTAAAATTCGTCCCTGAGCATCGTCGTCGGATAGCCACTCAGCTGCGCCCGCAGCATCGATCACGTGAACGTTCTGTTTACATTTTGTGCCAGTTCTCCTTGAAAGAAGCATGCATAGTGTCGATGTAAACATTGTCGGTGATTTTTCCATGTCGGTTAATTAATATTGTCGGTCAAATGGTGTCTATTAAGACATTCTCGGTGAAATGATTGTGGGTGATTTGATGTAAACCCATTCGAATTAGTTTGGCAGATGGGCGCTGCCGAGGAAGACTGGGAGATTTGCGCCGAAGGTCCGTGTCGGTGTCAGCCCGAGATCAAGTCGGTGTCATGCTGGAGGCAAGAGCTGTTGGACCTTCCGGCCGCACAGCTCGTTCCGAAGGATGTGTTGAAATTGTAAGCCGAATGGTTCAACGATTAACACTATGCCGTCCGGTGGCACCACACTGGGTGCCATGCAAAAACTATCTATGTATGCCGGTGGTACCACTTTGGTGCCATTTTAAAAAATTGAAATAACATTTGAACTCTATTTCTTGGGTGCTAAAAGGCAGCAAACTATCTATGGCATTGTTCATATTTAAATATTATCATGTAATTATTATTATCATGTAATTATTATTATTATATATAATTATATATATATTATATATAATAATTATATATTATTATATATTTATTTATTATTTATTTATTATATATATTTATATATTATTATATATCATTATTATCATTATTATAATTATTATATATTATAATTATAATTATTATTATATAAATTTAATTTTTATTAAAATAAGAATTAAGTACGAAAATTCTTGGATGACATATCTAAATCTTAGGAATTTATATTACCGCCATCTTCGAAATTTTTGTTTAAATCTAAAATTTCCACGCTATTATGCCGGCGTTGAACAAAAGGATCACATCTAAGATCTGCGGACGGCGTAATGTTAACACTTTGACTGTCGTGTCACTAATATGTAGGTGACAGAATTTGAAAATTAATTTTCACGCTAATTTATTATCATTTCCTACTTCTATTAACATTATCAAAATGTCAGAATGCCGAAGAAGTAATAATTAATGTCGTACAACTTTATTAATTAATTATTGATCAATCAAATCAAATAGTTTAATTTTATAACATTTTTGAGATTGTTGGCACGGCAGGCAAAGTGTTAAACGATTATTTCACGCGATTCTTTCAGGGATCTGGCCGGGAACCGACTGACGGCGCTTCACAGAGACACCTTTTTGGACATGACAAGACTGAATCATCTGTGAGTAGAGTACCAGATGGACGCTGCTCGCGATAAAATCAGAACCGTTTTCAGAGATCTCAGCGACAACTCGATCGAACACCTCCCGTTGAACTTGTTCTTCTCGCTGCAAGCAGTCACGCACCTGAGATTGAGCAAAAATTTACTGAGGGAGCTGCACCGTTCTCAGTTCTTCAGCATGCGTAATCTTCGGATGCTGTGAGTGATCGTCCGAAATAATCTCGCGGGTTGACGTTGAAAACGATGCAACGACGGTTTCTCGTTTTCCGGGTCGAAGGGACGCTTCCTCGAACAGGCTGCGAACGCTGCCGGAAAGCCTCTTCTTGAGCACCAACCTGCTGGTGTTGCTCGATCTATCGTGCAATCGGATCTCGACGCTCACGGTAGGTACGTTTCGCGGATTGTCGACGCTGGAGGAACTGCTTTTAGGGAAGAACCGGCTCTCGTCGTTGCCGAACGATCTCTTCGGGGATCTGGCGAGTCTCAGGTTCCTCAGTCTGGAGGACAATCGACTGAAGGCGTTGCCCGATCAAGTTTTCCGCGGACAGGCGTCGCTACGGGAACTGAACGTGAGAGGAAATAATCTCGCCGAGATATCCGCCGAATTGTTGGTCCCGCTGGAACAGCTGCGCTCCCTAGAAATGTCCAACAACAAAATCTCACGGGTAATTCGGGGAATCGTTTACTCTCCTGCCAATTCGAGACAATTCAATATATGAGCCGTTTATTTTGAAAGTGGCATAAGTCACTTTGTTTTTAAGTCGATATATTTAAGGGTTTGCGTTTTAACACGTTTAAAAATATGGATGCTAACTTTCGAGAAGATTTAATTGTATTTGTTATCTCAGGATACTGAGATATTTTTCTCAGTATAAATAATTTCGTATAAACATTAAAAAATCGCCACTTTTCATTACGGTAAAGTGACTTCAGCCACTTTCAAAATAAATAGTTTAGAAAAATGACTGACATATATTAATTTTGTCC